GGGAAAGAACAAATATCCGAACAAACCAAACCAACCTCATCATCTTATATTCTCTTAACCTCTCTCTACATATCTCGCACTAACATTTTTTTTTTTCTCTCTCTCTTGAGTCTTAACCAAACCATGGAGGAGACAGAGGAGTCCACTAATGCTAATCAGAAGTTCACTACCAAAAGAAGGAGCTTCAGGAATGGAGGAAACTCTCATGAGCATCATCATTATCATCACCATCACCACCACCATCATCATCATCACTTTCAGCACCATAATCAGCTGCTACAGTACTCAACTCAGCTTGGTTTGTGCAACAACCAGAACAAGTATCAAAGATACTATCCAGCTCTTCTTCCTCTACCTTCTCTTATACCTCTACAACAACTTCCTTTGACTCCACCCTTCCCTCAAAATCACACCATCGTGTCAAAATCTCATTTGCACAAGCCTCCATGCAAACTCAATAGCTCCCCCTCCTCAGATTACAAGCTCTCTCAGCCACCACTTGCTCCTGGTAAGCACTAGCATTGTTCCTTCCCTTTCAAACTTAACTCACCCTTTTGCTTGCATTCTTTTTGTTAATTCAGAAGCCAAAAATTTGTTCTTTAGGCCTGCTTGTTTGGTTTTGTTGAAACAAAAAAACAAATTTTCCTTTTACTTTTCACATTAAAAATAAAACTTCATCATAGCAATACCATGAAGAAACTATTTATGGCTTTTCCTTTTGCATGTTGTGTATGTTTTTTTTGAAACATTTCATTTGGGGTTGTAATTTATATATTGATATGTTTCTAAAGTTTAATCACAATCACAAAGGGTTTGGTCCATATTTTGCATTATTTTGGTGGTTTTAATGTGAAAGTGTAAGGTCTTGTTGGGGAAAAAAAAATCAGAACAGTGTGCCACTTGCTGCAATTGATGTCTTATGTTTCAATGTTGATTTTGTCAAAAGTAGTACTCTAGTATGCCCTTTTATTAAACAGTTGCAGGAAACAAATTGTTCAACTCTTTCTCTCCATAGTATTTCATGATTGGATTTTATCACTGGACATCTTTTTTTTTTCTCTACGAGCTAGGGATGTTGAAAGTCTTTCTTCTTTTCCCTTTTCTTGGTGCCAGTTGTTGGAAACCAATATTAGCATATTCTGAAGTACGGTGGATTTTCCTATTCACTATGCTGTCCCATTTTATGGGTCCCTTTTCCTTTTCTTTTTCTGTTTTTTTTTCTGGTGTGTTTGTCAGGCTACATCAGAAAAAAAAAAAAAAAAAAAAAAAAATGCACGGGTTTTTTTATTTTTTAG